TCTCAACTGGGAAATTATTTTTCAGAGATTCTTTCTCTAACATGTTAATATACATGTCTATAACCTTCCCACAAAATTTCATATTTTTTGTAGCTGTTTTACTATTTTTAATTGATTTTACAAAGCTAAATACGCAAATTTCCAGAATGCTGGATTTTGGGGTATTTTGGTCTTTTCAGCCTATAACGGCTAGTAACGGCTAGTAACGGCTAGTTTTTGATATTTTCGGTTTTTGGGGGTTTGTGGCTGGTTTAAGAGGCTATAAAAAGCCCTCAACTTTCATTGTTTCTCATGGATGTTTAAGAGAGTTTTAAAAAGAGTTTTACAAGTTTGTTGAAGGGTTTTTAAGTTTGTTTCAAGAGTTTGTTTATGAAGAACTTTCACAAGAGCTTGAGGAGATCATTCTTTGGTGTTTGGGCATTCAACTCTTCTCCCTCTCTCTCTTGTCATCTTTAGAGAAGTGTTTCTAAACTCAATCTAGCTTTACATTTATATATAAATGTTTGATTATCATTTTATTAAGCTAGAATTTATTTGAGTTTAGTTTGATTTGATTTACTCTTTGTTTACACACACAACCATTGAGCTTATTGTATTTGCATACATTATATAATTGAGTTGTGGGATTGTGTGACATTGAGTGTGAGCCTACATTGTGTTCTCACCTTGACTAGGAGTTGTGCTTAATTGAGTTCTCACCTTGTTTAGATAACAATCAATTGATTTATATTGTGCTTATTGTGAGATTCACTTTGTAATACACTTGTACACCGAGAGGAGTGTGTGGTGAGAGTCGGGGATCGTCCCAAGAGGAGTGACGTCGGTTGACGTGCCTAGAGAGAGAGGTTGTAACCGAGCACTTGAGGGAGACACGGCTAGGTCCAACACTTAGTGAGTGTAGAGGTGGGTTTGCAAGAGTGTGAGTTGTAGAGTTTTCGGTTAGCTAGAAAACCGAGTGTGTAGAAGTTCCGGCTTCCAAACCGGATTGTGATAGTGGATTTCTCCCCGGGAGTGGGGAGCGGAGACGTAGGACGGAAGGTCCGAACTCCGTGATCATATTGCTTGTTTGAGTGTGCTTTGGCGTTCATTCATATTTATGTTCATATCTTATATCGCCATTGTCATTAGCTCATTATCTATATCATCCACTATCTTGTTTAGATTGTTTACCCCTTGTGTTAGTTTACATATCCTATACATATATCATATTGTATATCTCTTTGATAGGATATATCATCTTGTGTTAGCTCATATATCCTTGCATATATCTCATAGTATATATCATTGCTAGGATATTTACCTTTGTTCATATTGCTTATTCTTGCACATAACTCTTGTATATCTATCTTGCAAGAATATACTTGTTAATTAATTTTAATTGGCACTTAAATCGGATTAGATTAGCATAAGACCCTAATCACCCCCCCTCTAGGGTCTAACAATTGGTATCAGAGCTTGGTGCTCTTTGATTTAAGGTCTAATCGCCTTGAGTTAAAGATCCAAGTTATCTTTTTGTGCTAATCTTATTTTGAGCTTTATTTGTATCTTGCTTGCCTTTTATATTATGGATATGCATGGTTTAGGTTATGCCATTAATATTGCTCCTAGATTAGATAATTTCCCATATGCCCAATGGTGTGTTAGATTTAAACTTTTTGTTCAATCTAAACACTTTGATTTATGGGAAATTATAGATGATGCTTATATTGTATATATATATATATATATATATATATATATATATATATATATATATATATAAGATATATCTCATTGTTCATATTGCTTATCCTAGCTTACATATCTTGTTGTATTTCATACTTGTTAGGATAACGTATTAATTAATTTTAATTGGTATTTAAATCGGATTAGATTAGCATAAGACCCTAATCACCCCCCCCCCTCTAGGGTCTAACACGGCAACCTTGTAAAATTGGGTTAGAATTGAACTGAAGCTGACCTAATTTTAAGCTATTTATTGTTTGGCAAATTCATATGCTAGAGCGGGCCCAACTATTGAATCCCAAATATTGCAACTAAACCAGTTTTCTTTTGAATGAAAGTGGGGAGGGGGAAGCTGGTCCAAAAATTTTGATTTAGCACAACACTAAAGGGGTGTTATTGGTTGGTGTAAATTTAGGGTATGTGGGATAATTTTTGGGACTTTACTTTATGGTGTTATTCATTAAGATAATGAGATTGAGATTTCACTTTAAAGTGTTATTCATTTGGATAATGAGATTAGGACAATTACCCCTATTTTTTTTCAAAATTATCTCACTTCTATACAAACTTTTTGTCTCAACCTTCAAAAATTACATCATTCTTAACTTTGGGACAATCATGAGGAAAGTGAGATAATTTTAAAGCACTAATTTATTAAATATCTAATATATGTTAATTATATTATAATTTATAATATATCTTAATTATATATTATGTTATAAAATTCTATTATAACGTAAGATAATAAAATATAATACAATATTATCTAATATAACATTATTACATATTAGTTAATAATATTTTATATATTATAATATTAGTATTATATTATTGTAATATTACTTTATATTATTTAGTATATATTTTATTAGTTAGAATAAAAATATTATTGTAGTTTTTTATGATATAATTTATTATATAATACTTTACTATTTTCTATTATACTTTATTATATTAATTAATAGTCTTAAATATATTGTCAATATTGTGGTAGTTATAATATTAAATAATATTTTATTACTACAATAAAAATTATAATAAAGTACTATATATTAAAGTATGATAATATAAATAAAATTAATATAATATAATATATTATTTAATAATATTTTCTAATTAATAATATTGAACATATTAATAGTATATTATGATTATTATAAATATTATATTTTAATAAGGAGTCATATTCATGTGCCCTTTTTTTTCCTCTTCATAAATCAGAATCATGGCTAGTTTTTCCAACTCCACCACTAATGCAAAGCACTACTTTCGCAACATTCCAAGTTGACCCTTGCCTGAGTTGTGATACAGTAGTGTTTGCTCTGTTGAGCCACCATGAAGGTTAAATAGGGCGGGTTGGGGGGGAAACAAAAACAAAAACAAAAACCAAATGGACCTAAGACCATATGCAGCAGGGGTTTTTTTGTGGGATATTTGAAGGCAGCTGGGGTTTTTTAAGGGGGTGAAATAAATGAGATCGGAGAGAGGGTGAAAATTTCACCCCGGATGAATCTGACAAGCCCACGCGCGCGCCTTGATGCAAGCGGACACATGGCGAATTTCTATTGGGCAAGCTTTATTTTTTTCCTCCTTATTTTTATTTGATATTTTTTGAGATAAATACAATGAATTAATTTATAATTTTTATACCATTAATTTTCATTTTTCAAACTCTATAAATAGAGACTAACTTTGTGTCATTTGGACACAAAAAAAAATCTGAGTTTCTACACCCTATTCTTCTTCTTTCTACAATTTGAAGCTAGTTTCTTCATGGATCCTTCACAAAACTATCCTAATTTTTCCTACAACTACAACTTTCCTAACCAACCTCAAAATACCCTCCCTCAACCACAACATCCAAATATACAACGCCCCGAAAATACTCAAAATACGGGGATGCAGCCCAATTTTCAAATGCCGTATATGATGCAACCAAATTTCGGCATGCAATATCCTTATCTTCCTTACGGTTATCCTCCAGTTCCGGGAAGCAGCTATGTTCCCTCCCATATGAATTGTCCTAACACGGAGTCGAGTGAGCCAGCGACACCCCGGTTTAGTAGCGGATCTACAGATATCCCAGAATTTTCTACCCAAATGTCTTTGGGAAATGTTGGTGGGGATACTCCTCACAGTTTTCTCCCTCCAACCCAACAATCAGCAAAGAGATCAAGTTATGAAACTTGGACCACCGAAGACAACATACTTTTACTAACTGGTTATTTTCACGTTAGTAATGATAGTGAGTTGGGGAACAACCAAAAGGGTGAAACTTTCTGGGGTAAAATTACACAGTACGTGAATGAGAACGCCAAAAGTGGAAAGGAGAGGATTGTGTCTCGGTGCCATAGTCATTTCAAAGACATCAACAGAAAGATATCCAGTTTCATTGGCTGCTACAGTACTGCATGTAGGGAGAAGCGTAGCGGTTGGTCCGATGAAAACTACATATCCAAGGCAAGAGAGTTGTACTTTGAGAAAATGGGTACGACGTTTAATTTGGTGGATGAGTGGAAGGTGGTTCGTAATCAACCCAAATATATGACAGGAGGAAATGCATCCGGTAGTAGTGGCTCTAAAAGAAAGAGTAGTGGTGAGGATGTTGAATCATCAACTCCTACCCTTGTACGTCCAGAGGGTAGGGACGTGGCAAAGAAGAAAGCTAGAGGTTCCTCTAGTAAAACATCTGTGTCAAGGAAATCAAAGGGGGCAATTGAGGAGGAGTTATCTAAGCTAGTCAGTGCTCATGAAAAATTTGAAGAGAAAAGATCAAGTACTGCTTCAGCTATGAATAACCTGGCTCATTCCAAGAATATGGAGATGTGGTTATTCTTGAAAAACAAACCAGATCGTGACGATGAAGATGAAGAAGCTTATAATATGTTGAGGAAGAACCTGTTTGGAAAATAAGACCTTCTCAAGAAGTTATGATTGTGTGTTTTCTTTCTGATGTTTTTGTGTGCCGTTTGTTTAATTTTGGAGTTGTGTGGGTGCCTATGTTTGTTGAATGTATTAATAAAAGTGTTGTTTATGTTTGAATAAAATTGTTGTTTATGTTTCAATAAAGCCGATTGATAATGACTTCTCACTGCATAATAGTACAAAAGATACAATTACTACTCACTGCAAAAACAAACAAATGTTGAATTGACCTTTCACTGCAAAAAATACAAAGGATGAAATGACTACACCTGCATAATAATACAAAATATGAATTGACAACTCTCTGCACATGCATGCCCTATGACACATGTCTCTGATGTTGCATGCCCTACGACACATGTCTCTGATGTTGCATGCCCTATGACACATGTCTCTGCAATTGCATGTGAATTCAATTATTTGAACAACTACCCTTCATTATATAAACTGATCAGATGCACATCATAAGTATACCTATCAACATTTCAAAAATCATAGCATCCAATGGATCCTTTCCTAAATGAGTTTAGTCTAGAAGAGTTCCAACAACAATGGGAAATAGAAGAAAAAATACTTGATAGGCAGCGAGAACTTCTTGAAGAATTGCAAAGGAGAAGCGAACAACCACGTAAGAGGAAATCCATACATAGAGATCATCATGCAGCGCATGAGAGACTCATGGCCGACTACTTTGCCGAGTCATGCACTTACACTGACGCCCAGTTCCGACGCAGGTATCGAATGAAAAGGCCTCTCTTTCTACGAATTGTGGACTCTATATCAAATTACGACGATTACTTCACACAACGGCGCAATAATGCGGGCAAGCTTGGGTTAACGCCTATCCAGAAGTGTACGGCTGCCATACGCATGCTCGCATATGGAGTCGCAGCCGATGCTTGTGATGAGTACGTCAAGATAGGAGAATCCACTGCTATCGAGTGTACTCGCAAGTTTTGCGAAGGGGTAATAGCATTGTTTCAAGATGAATACTTACGACGACCAAATGTGGAAGACTTGCAGAGGTTGCTCCAAGTTGGACAGGAACGTGGATTCCCAGGGATGATTGGAAGTATTGATTGCATGCACTGGCAGTGGAAAAATTGTCCTAAGGCTTGGCAAGGGCAGTTTACTAGTGGACACAAGGGGACGGCAACAGTTATCCTCGAGGCAGTTGCGTCATATGATTTGTGGATATGGCATGCTTTTTCAGGGCTTCCTGGTAGTTTGAATGACATAAATGTACTAGATAGGTCACCGGTTTTTGACGACATTGAGTCTGGTGAAGCTCCACGGGTAAAATATGATTTGTGGATATGGCATGCTTTTTCAGGGCTTCCTGGTAGTTTGAATGACATAAATGTACTAGACAGGTCACCGGTATTTGACGACATTGAGTCTGGTGAAGCTCCACGGGTAAACTTCACCGTGAATGGGCGGGAGTACAATCTTGCATACTATCTTGCCGACGGAATCTACCCTAAGTGGCCTGTCTTCGTGCAGTCAATTCAAATGCCCCAAGGCAACAAACATCAATTTTTTGCCAAACAACAGGAATCATGCAGGAAGGACGTGGAACGCGCATTCGGGGTACTCCAAGCACGCTTCGCTATTGTCCGCCAACCAGCTAGAATGTGGGATCTTGATGTCTTAGGAAAAATAATGAGGGCGTGCATTATTTTACATAACATGATAGTAGAGGATGAACGAGATACGTATTCGCGAAACTGGGAAAATATCGACTTTGAACCGTCGAACAATGCTAGCTCTAGCGCCTCTTTCAATGTTCAAACAGACGTGTTGCCGGAGTTTCAAGTCCATGTTCAACACCGATCTGAGGCAGATAATCAGACTAGAGCGGAACTACGAGATAAGACCCAACATATTCAGCTGAAGAAGGATCTCATCGAGCACATTTGGCAGAAGTTTGGGACAACCTCCGATTAAATTTTTACCAATTTAGTGTGTGTTTTCTGGCCTGTTTTCAATAATTTGGGTGTGTTTGGTTTTCCGTATGCTTAATAAAATCGTGTGTTATTTTATGTTAATTTAAAAATATTATTGAAAATTAAATTAATAATATATATTTAAATATTATATATTATTTATTGAATTATTAATAAATTATAATTATAAATATATGAGTTATAATAATAATAATAATAATAAAATAGTAATATATATGAAATAGGAAAAAGAATGAATAAATATGGTGGGGTATATGTTGAAGTGAAGTGGTTTATGGTGGGTCCCAAATAAAGTAAAAAACTTTCTGAAAAATCTCCTGCTGTAGAGTTGATAGGGAAATGAAGATTATTGAATTAAATAAAGTGATGTGGCAGGAGAGAAGGAGGTGAAATTTCACCTCCTGCTGGAGATGGTCTAAGTCAGAACTGATTTCGAGACAGTTTTATATCGTTTCACAAACACACCCAGTCTCAACTACCGTGCATTTCTCGTGTACGGTGAGCGGACTCCAGTCCGTGCATTGCAATTTGGTTGAGGGCTGGGATTTGGAGTCCAGGGAGCGAAGAAGCTGGGGAATGCAGATGATGATGGAGGAAAGCAGATGGTACACGTTTGCTCTGTTTTATTGTCTGTGGGAATGGGGGACGTGACGTGTCAAGTGGCCAACAGCTACGTTTGCACGCTCCCCCTCCCGTGCTCTCCCATTCCTCGGCTGCAGACAATAATCTCTTTTTTCTCTTTTTCCCCATTTTAATTTTCTTATTTCACTCACATTTACCCCTTGTTGACAGTGAAAACATATTTTCACAGGAGGAAAATAATTTTAAGCAAATCGGAAAAAATCCACTCCTTACTGTGCACAATAAAACCGGACTAAACTTCTAAGACCATCTCCAACCCATTGCACCAAAATGATACAAAAATCACATCAAACAGTAATACATTTTCAACACATTGTACTATTTTTTGCACCAAAAAAGAACATTCTCAGAATATTCTCAGTATATTCCATTTTATCTACTTTTATATTAAGTAAAAAGTAAAAAATAAATATTAAAAAAAATTAAAAGTAATGAACTGTAATAACGCGGAAATCCAAAGTGCCGCAAAGAATGCGGCACGGTTGGAGGGGAAACAGTTCAACGTAGCTGGCAAAATGCCGCTGTTTTGCCAGCTGCGTTGGAGATGGCCTAAGCTATTAAAATTTTCCTTAAATACCCGTAGACTATTTCCGGACTTATCATCCTCATTATTGAATTTGTCCCGAAATCTCTGAGCTATCACTTGTAGCATCCAACTACATTGCTTTCTTTTATTTTTTTATGAGTCTTCACATGGATTTATGAGAGAAAAAATAATAGTTCAAAGCATAAGACGAAGCTAAAAGTAGTTTAAAGAAGAAATTAATAGCTCCCCGTAAAGATGAGACTAAAAGTAGTTTAAAGAAATACGTGAATGAGATCTGAAGCCAAATAAGTAATTTCATTGCTGAACAAGGAATTTTTTGTTGATGAGTGGCTTTTGAAAGCTTAGAATAAGCATTTTATTTTGTTGTTGTTGCATGTTGATGTTCAAATTTTTTTTATTATTATATAGAAATAAAAGGAAATCCAAATATTGGTCTTCTAAGAAATACTAACTGGCCTACAATGCATGCAAGGCCTGGTTAAGGAAGAAGAAGACGACAACAAAATTTCTCTTTCATTTTCTTTTGATACATTTGACATGTCACCAAGAATCACAGCAACTGGTGGACTTGTTTTAGCAATATTTAATTCAATAAAACTAGAGCTATTATACAGTGAAACATACAGTATAAGTAAACTTCATGATTTTTCTTTTTCCTTGACATGACACAAATCACTTAGGTTAAAAAAATGGCATTAAGTAAAACATAATTCACATAATTTCATCACAATTTTGGATATCATGCTAAAATCCAAACACAACTACCATCATTTATGCGCCATCACGCTGCTCTCATTTTCACGCATCGTTACGTCGGCTCTGATTGAAAAAAGCCACAGCTTATTCATTGCCCATTTTCCTAATTTCACAAAACCCACCAAATTCAAGGACTTAAACTGAAATTTTCCATTTTTAGGTCTCCACATTATTGGACGCCCCGGTACCCTTACCGCCCTCGCATCCTTTATCGTCCATAATGACCATCGAACGGTCAGGATTTCAAATTGGAGACAGCAGGACCAAAGTTAACTTTACCGGATAAAGCTCCAGTACGTGATTCGAGGTACAAAAGATATTTAAATCAGCAAGAGAAGCCTACGCTCACCAGAATGAGACGCACGCAAAAATAAACACATAACAACGGCGGGTCCCACGAGAGAGATGTCGTACTCAGGTGCCATTATTTGTGTCGGGGAGAATTATTGCCTCTCATTACAGCTGTCACGGGCCGAAAATGTACCAGCCTGGCGTCAGAACACACAGCTGGATCTGCCACGTGTTATCATCCGATTGGCTGGCCTGAAGACTCGACCTTTAAAGGTACACTGGTCCCCTATCGTGGTCCAGCTATTAAAGAAACAAGGCCAACGGCTAATTTTTATAATGCTACGTGGATGCTGACGTGGCACGTGGCTTGCGTGGGAAGCCAACGTGGGGTTTTGGGCCTATAAAACGGGAGCAAAGGGGGTCCCTTGGCTCTCACACCAGAGCTCAGGAACCAGTGAAAGCTTCTCATCTCGAGAGCCCCCCAAATCCTCTCTAATGGCGGCCATCAAACTTTCTCTGGGCTCTTTTCTAGTGCTGGGTCTTCTGCTTTTGGCCAATGCAGCCAAGTTTGATGAACTCTTCGAGCCCAGTTGGGCTCTGGATCATGTCGCGTATGATGGCCAATTGCTCCAACTCAAGCTCGACAATTTCTCAGGTTTAGTATTTCCCCCCCAGATCAATCTCAGTTATCAAATTGCTCCCAATATTGCTGCGATGATAGAAAATATACATAAAACGGGAGAAAAAAAAAAGATGAAACTTATGTCAAATCCACTCTAAACGCTTGACGTCATGAGTTTCATGAAATTCACGCTGCCATTGTTGGCCAGGCGCAGCGTGGGTGGCGGCGTGTTTTGAGAAATTAATCACGCGCGCTGAAACTATCGTCAGTATTTGTAAAATATCCCTATGCAATTTATTTAACTAACTAACACTAGCGCATCCATCCATTCCAGGCGCCGGCTTCGCATCCAAGAACAAGTATCTGTACGGAAGAACCACCTCCGAGATAAAGCTCGTCCCAGGCGACTCGCCGCACCGTGACGGCATTCTACATTGGTCGGACGGCCCGCGCCACACGAGTTCGACTACGAGTTCCTCGCAACAGACCGCGCGAGGCCCTACCTCGTCCAGACAACATCTACGTCAACGGCGGGGCAACCGCGAGCAAGTCGCCACACGCTGGCTATTCGCCCACCGCCGACTTCCACTCCTTACTCCATCCTCTGGAGCCGGAAAGCGGGTCGTCTACGCTGCGTGCGACGCAGACCCCGATCAGGGTCTACGAGAAAAGAACGGGGTGTCGACTTCCGACGGACCAGGCGATGGGGGTTTACAGCTCGCTGTGGAAACGCGGACGACTGCGGACGCAGCGGTGGCAAGGTGAAGACGCGATTGTCGCATTCGCCGTTCGTGACGACGTACCGAGAGTTTGAGATTGATGGGTGCAGGGTTGGGGTGGGGATGGAGGAGGAGGAGGAGGGGGTGAGGAGGTGCAAGGGGGAGGCGGGGTACTCGTGGAAGGAGAAGGTGATGGAGGAGGAGTTGAACGTGCACCAGAGTCATCAGTTGATGTGGGTGAGGGCTAAGCACTTGGTGTATGATTACTGTGCGGACGCGGCTAGGTTCCCTTCCAAGCCCAAGGAGTGTTGGTGAGCTAGGAATATTTATGTGATGTACATTAATTAAGATAGGTTTTTTTATTTTTATAGTTTGTTTTCTTCCCGTGTTTATGTGCTGAAAGGTCTGTTTAACGATTAGCGTTTCAATTTACTTGCATTTTAAGCTGTTTTTTTAGTGTGGAGAAGATGAAATTTCCTGCGGTAGGCGCCCGAAACCGAGGATGACATTCACTGAAATTATATTTGTCTCATTTACTGAGGGGCTTTGATGGAGTGCTAAACTAGTTTTAGTTGGAATAAGACTTTATTAGGGATAAAAAAGAGTTTGGGCTGAACCAGTGCTTCTTCGGACTGATTTCGCATCGGAACTCGGCCAGAAAAAAACCGAGTTCCTCATGATTTAAAATAGAACCGGATAAAATTGAGGAAAGGGAAAAATATTTGATCATATAGCAAAGTTGAGGAAAGGGAAAAATATATTGTGATTGTCAACATGAAGACGGAAAATATGGTTTGAAATAGAACCGGATAAAATTGAAAAAAAAATAGAGAAAAGGGAAAATATTTTGTGATTATCGATCCAAATGACAGGAAATATATTTTGATCATCAAAGTGGAACTCTGTCCTCCTACATATAGCAAAGTTGTGAGTGGATAATGCACGTGACGAATTTTTTTTAAGAACGTGGTTTAAAAAAAACTAAAAAAAATATTTACAAAAAATAATTACTACCGCGGAGCTAATTTAAGAAATGAAAATATCATTTGCGGCAAAAATTAGATATATATAGACCAACTTTAGAATAAAGTTATTTTTTTTATTTATTTATTAGATAAATATTAACTTGCTATTTTTTAACTTAAAGTAGTGAGTTTTTAACATTTTTTGCTACTATATATAGTTTTGTATGTTTATATTCTCTTTTGTATATCTTTTTGAATGTAAAAAATATAAAAATAGGAAATTCTTTTGTGAATATTGTGTACCCGGCCCTTCTACAATTGACCCTAACCATTATAACTATTGTTTAATTTTGTAATATATTTTATATTAATAGAAGTTTTTGCTTGTAAGGGTTTGTTGGTTTCTCAAAAATGCTGGAAATGGAAATAAGTGCTGGAAACCCAATTTTCATGCCTTTCCACTCATTTCTAAGAACCGATTTTTTTTAGTTTGTTTGGCATGGAAACAGAGTGGTAGAATAGAAATACACCCATCAATTTATCATGTTGGTTGGGAAAAAAGAAGAAGAAGAAGTCAATGAGTTGAAACAATAAAAGTTAGTTTATTATGTTTGTTTGGGCTTCAAACATACCTGGAAACATGTTCTACTCACCCCTTAAGATGACCGGCCATATAAGACAAAAAAACTGTCGCTGTTGTGTTGAAAGTACCGATCAAAGAAGCTTGTTTTTTCAAACACCCCAACAGTCACTTGGCAACAGTAAAAAAATAACGGTTAGAACTGACCCGACAACAGCTAGAACTAACAATAACTCAACTAGAACTAACATAGGCAAAAGAGCCAACATTTGCATTAGAACTTGCGTTAGTTGGAGGTAGAACTAACACGAGAACAACTAAAACTAACATGGGAGCCGCTAGAACTAACAATCACTCAGCTAGAACTAACATAGGCAATATAACCAACACTTATACTAGATCTAACGCTAGCTGGAGGTAGAACTGACATGGGTGCAGCTAGAATTAACACGATAGCAAGTAGAACTGACAATAACTATGATAGAACTAACATTGTCACTATAACCAACACTTATACTAGATGTAACGCTAGCTGGAGGTAGAACTAACATGGCTCATGGTAGAACTAACATGACTAAAACTAGAACTAACATGCATTTCAGTCAAAACTAACACGTTAATTTAGAACTAACATGTACTTCACACCCATGTACAGCAACATCATCAACAGTCCAATATAAGACAAACAAAACCACCATTATTGTGGTGAAAATACCGATCAAAGAGGCTTTTTTTCAAACACTCTAACAGTCACTTGCCAACAGTCAAAAAATAACGGCTAGTTGAGCTACCAAACCCAATATATAGCATGAACAAAGCTAAGTTATAAACATATCATAATTTCGTTCACCTAGTGAACACATTTTTATTTCGTGAGATGCATACATCGGAAGGGTCTCAAGCACCAGGGGGTATGTTGTTTCTGCAAAATTCTAACACCCCTCAAGCTGTGCAAGAATTGGAGGAACAAATGTAGATATTTCTGGGGATGTGCAAAGTTTCCAAATAAGCAATGCAAATTTTTTGTTTGGGCTCACAATGACAATGCAATAAAGAAGAACATGCCAGTGATTGAAGAATTGCCTGTTGGAGAGGAGATTGCAACCAAAACAAAACAACTAAAGAAAACATTGAAGCAATCGAACCGTGAAGTCGAACTATGAAAAATTTGTTCATTCTTTCTATGTATTTTTTGTATGATTTTAATTTTATTAAACATTGTGATTTGTACATTGAAAATAAATTGAAGAAATGAAATGGGGAACAAAGCTAAAATTTTCAGTTTACATGTGTATTTTGGTTCACCATGTTAGAATTTTTTTTGCTAGCATGTAAATGCTATGTGCTCAGATTTGATCAATATTATCATGGTATGCCGCACCATCAAAGTTTGCGAAAAATCATTGAAGGCTGCAATGTTGCCTCACCTTTACAATGAATTAACAACTTATGATTGCATCTATCATAATGTGGCAATCATCATAGCACAAAATGCATAAGCTTACATGTTATGAATTCACCGTTATGTGCTCAGATTTGATCAATATTATCATGGTATGCCTCACCATCAAAGTTTGCAAAAAATCATTGAAGACTGTAATGTTGCCTCGTCTTTACAATGAATTAACAACTTATGGTTGCATCTATCATAATATGGCAATCATCATAGCACCAAATGCATAAGCTTACATGCTATGAATTCACTGTTATGTGCTCAGATTTGATCAATATTATCATGGTAGAACTTGTGTTAGTTGGAGGTAGAACTAACACAAGAACAATTAGAACTAACACAGGAGCCGCTAGAACTAACACGGGAGCCGCTAGAACTAACAATCACTCAACTAGAACTAACATAGGTAATATAACCAACACTTATACTAGATCTAACGCTAGCTAGAGGTAGAACTAACATGGGTGCAGCTAAAATAACAAAAAATACAACCTCTGAACACATTTTCATAACAATTTCTTCATCAACTCCATCACCATCCATCTACAATACCAAATTTATGTTACTAATTTTGAAAAATGTAAAGAAATTTTACTTGTAATATTTGAAACTTAGCATTCTTCTTTTGAAACTCAGCACTGAAGCTAAAATAAAATAATATATGAATATTAACATTACAACAGTAACTTACTCAATTCTTAAATAGTATATTTTTTGCAAATAAACTCATGAGCAGGAACAAATACATGATTATTAACTTTGACATAATAAGCTACTAAATGGCATGATTACGTAACGCTAGCTGGAGGTAGAACTAACATGAGTGCACCTAGAACTAACACTCATAAAATACATTAGAACTAACATGTTATAAACTAGAATTAACACAGCACCAACTAGAACTAACATAGCAACTGGTAGAACTAACATGACACAAATTAAAACTAACATTTACCGTGATAGGGCTAACGTGACGCCAACTAGAACTAACATAGCTCATGGTAGAACTAACATGGCTAAAACTAGAACTAACATGCATTTCAGTCAAAACTAACACATTAATTTAGTTCTTGTCACGAAAACTAACATGGTAAAACTAACATGGCTAAAAATATACTCTCGTCACGAAAATTCAAACTAAACCTTAGATTCAACATGCATAACCTAATGAAAGATCCATAATGTATTCATGCATAACCTTTTACCCAAAATAGACAGAATCAAGGATACCCCAAATATTAATTAATATGTTCTCCATACATTCGAAAGGAAAAAAAAGTCAAGCAATCATGACCTCATTACACTAAAAAATCAAGCAGACATCAACAATACCAACATGCAAGGTACATGATGCACAAACAATTACAAAAAAAAAAGAACTACCTTCAATTTTTAGAGGTCCAAGGCTGAGTGAAGATTGATCACCCAAACAGCTTGGATATAGCTACAAACAATTGGATCTAGAGGAGAATGACTAGATTGATCACCCAAACTGTAGGATTGGCGAAAACTGTTGAAGAAGCTCAGGAAAAATAGTTTGGAAACTAGTCGATCGACCGCGAGGACTTCGGCGGTCGATCGGAAACGTGCACAAGATCGAAGCAGGTTTCTGGAGTTGGGACGGTCGACCGTCACGGTCGACCGCCAGGGACCCTGTAGGATTCTGAGTCTCTAGATTTGGTTTGGTCGACCACCAACGATCGACCATAGAAACTCTATAATCATTTTAGGTGTCTGTCGTTGCGTACGGTTGATCGCGATGAATTTGGCGGTCGATCGCCAGTCGGCTTTTGAGTTGGGTTTGGATCTCAGACTTGTTTTGTCATGAGCTAATATATAACCCTAAACCTGATTAATTAGGGTTGAGAGAGGATGTTTTTAAGCAGCCTTTGAGAGAGTGTTGTGCATCCTTTGTGGGAAAATTTATGAGAGATCTAGAGAGCTTTGTTTGAGGATTTTTGGTAAGATTTGTAACCATATATGTAATTTTCTTTATCTCTAATCATAAAAACTCCTTCCTCCTTGCCCTGTGGACGTAGGCAACTTGCCGAACCACGTAAAATTCGTTTGTCTTACTGTGGTGATTGTGTTTTATTTATTGGTTGTAATCTATCTTGATCTTGTTTGTACTTTTTCATGCGTTTCGAGTTCCGCTGCGCACAACAAGTGGTATTATAGGCGTCAAAAATTACTTATAGGTTCCCGCACGTAGTTTAAAACGGAGAGAAGTCGATGAACGATATTATCCGAGTCAGAGAGGATTATCCAAGTCAAAGAGGATCATCCGATGCTGTAAAAAGAAGCGAAGGAACGTACGTGAAACGTCAAAACTTGTGAAATGATGAAGCAAATACAATCAGGAGGGCTCAAGGTGGCTTGCACACGTGCGGGTCACTCTAGAGTGACCCGCACGAAAAAGTGAAGTATTGACCATGATGAGATTTGAATACAAAAAATC